AAGCAACCATGCGCTCAATTTCTTGTGGGGAAATTTGGTCCCCATAACGGACTTTCACCACGAAACATTTACAAAAACAAAAATCTTTTCTACTGGTATACTGTGCTACAGAGTATTTGACTCGTATGTACGACAAGAGGTTAATACAGCGTTTTTACTGCATTTAACGTTTAGCTTTTTCGAAGAGCGTTCATGCTATCGCATTTAGCAAATGTACATTTACGCGAGTTCGAAATCGTATGCTTTTGACAAACAGTCGTGTTCAGATCCGTATCTATCACAATGAATTCGCACAGAGGGGAGAAAATTCAATACAAAACTTGAATTGTTTTAACCATAACCGAAAATTTGTTTTTGTGGACATATTTATTTGTCGGTGCTTTCAATTGAAATTTCCTCAATTAAATAGAAAAAAAAAAAACAAACAAAGTTCATTACAAATTGAGCCAGATTTCTATCAGTATTACATCGATGTTGAATTTGCGCAACTTTTTTTTTCCAAATAATGTAAAATAATAAATGAAATCTCGATCGGCGATTACTGAAACGCAGCTAGCAACCGTATACGCGAAAAAGCAATGTTGCCACTTTTTCTCATTAAACCATGTTCGAATCGTGGAAATTTTTGAAGATCACAGGGTTGCTTTTAGCATTTAAACTCTTAATGCAGAAATGGAGTTGCATTTAGGTGACGAATTTTGTATGAATAAATGTACGTTTAGAGTAGCATTTAGAGCTAAATGCGCTAAATGTGCTTTTACGCTTAAGCAAAAACAGCCCATAACGGCTATGATTAGGGATGTTGCGATACTACTGATATAACCTTGGTATCGATACTTTGGTTTCGATACTGGGTAACTCGGTATTCAATACTAAGATAACGATACTATTGATACCCTTTATGGTATTTTCCTTCGATACCGCTTAATGTATCATAATAACATCAATATCAATATCTATGTATACTAGCCGGCCTCGTATGCGCGAGGCTTTACCACGCGTTGAATGTAATAGACATTAAATAAGATGCGATTGACAACTAAACAGGTTGCTACCGTACTAAAAAAATAATATATAATTGCGCATCTAACGAACAGACCACATTTTTTAATTTTTCGCACAGGTTGCAACCCTTTTCGAAAAATAAAACCTTACTGTAAATCGAAAGGTCAAGCCTTTTCATTTGACGCCCCATTCTTTTAAATCGAATTAACTGTGCAAATTTAATTGCATTAACAAAAAATGCCCTCGCGTATTATACATACATAATTTTTAAATGGGTGGCAAACCCACTCAAACAAAAAATAAAATCTTATTGCACATTATTGCAGAGAATATACCCTTTCACTTGGTACCTCAGTTTTTAGTCAAAAAAACTGTGAAGATCTTATCATTTAAAAAAAGTGGCAACCCTACTCAAAAAGTAATACATTATTGAACATCAAAAAGCCAATCCCTTTTATTTGACACCCTCTTTCTGTAATCCAACGAACAATGCGGATGTAATAATTTTTTAGACAGGTAACAACCCTATAGGAATCTAAAGTACTAAAGATAGATAAGGGGTTGCAGGTGTTCTGTTATGTTATGTACTTCCTTTACGTACAATGTGCATTTCCAATTAAAGATATTAAAAAATACATACAGTGGTCAAAAAATTAACGTATCATTTTCGTTGTTATTTAATTTTGGTTATTTTTTTTATAAGAGTATAGTACATTCTTTAACAAAACCCGTGTAAATCCAAGTTACCAAATTTGTGCTATATTAAAAAAAAAATTTAACCAACTTTCGTACAAAT